AAAGAGATGGCTCAGAAGTAAAAAAACAATACAACAACAACAACAAAAAAAACTGTTGCAGTTCATGGGCCAGACATGGTGGTTCACACCTTTAATCCCAGCACTCCAGAGGGCAAAGGCAGGTGGAGCCAACCTGGCCTACAGAGTGAGTTCCAGGACATCCAAGGCTACACAGAGAAATCCTGTCTTGAAAAAACAAACAAAACAACAACAAAAACCCACTTGCTGTTCTTGCAGAGGACCAGGGTTTGGTTCCCAGCACTCTGATGCAGGCTTACAACTGTAACTCCAGGGGTCCAGTCTCCCTCTGTGACTTTGCACTTAGAAGGTGAACAAACAACGAAAACAATCACACACATAAATAAAAACAATCTTTAAATATAATTCAAAACTCCATTGAAATGAAGGCCCACAACTGTTATATCTGTTGTTTGTAAAGTTTTTTAGTTTTGCTTTGTGTAGCTTTTTTGTTCGGTTTTTTAATTTATTTTTATTTTATGCACATTGGTGTTTTGCCATGGATGTCTGATCTCCTGGAACTGGAATTATAAATACTTGTGAGCTGCCATGTGGGTGCTGGGGATTGAACCCGGGTACGTCTAGAAGAGAAGTCAGTACTCTTAACCACTGAGCCATCTCTCCAGGCCTGTTTGTTGGGATTTTTTTTTTTTTTTGAGATGGGTTTTCCACTGTGTAGCCCTGGCTGTCCTGGAACTCAATCACAGAGATCCACCTGCTTTTGCCTTCCAAGTGCTGGAATTAAAGGTGTGCACTGCCACCCCAGCTTTGTGTGTTTTTTTGAGAAAGGGTTTCTCTGTGTAACAGTCCTTGCTATCCTGGAAGTCACTCTGTAGAGCGGGCTGGCCTCAAACTCACAGAGATCCGCCTGCCTCTGCCTCGCAAGTGAGTGGGTGCTGAAATTAAAGGCATGTGCCACCACTGCCGGGCCTGTAAAGTTTGTTGTCGTTTTTGTTTTAAACACACAGCACAGACAGGAATATATTGAACGGTGAAAAGATAGATGCTGGATAAATGGCGAGTGAAGGTGTAGTTAGACGTCTCAGGTGACTGTCCTCCACCAGCCTGGCTAAGAATACCCTTGTCCTCCTTTTGGCTCTGAACTGCTCTCTCACTTCCCCAATCTGCAGGGAAAGATGGCCTTGTGCACGCAGCTAGCCTTCCCCAGCTCCTCTAAAGCTGCTTCCCAGGACTTCCTGGGGCCTAGTCTTTTTCAGCTGCCACATGCCACTCTTTCCAGTTCCAGCTCTGCACAGTGGTGCCAAGGTCACCTGTGCGATGCTCAACTACAAACCCACATTGCCAGTGGTGCAGCAGCCCGAACCCTGGCCGATCCCGCCACCTGCTGGCCATGGACAGAACTTCCTCTTTTTTTTTGTTTTTTCGAGACAGGGTTTCTCTGTGTAGCTTTGGAGCCTATCCTGGCACTTGCTCTGAACACCAGGCTGGCCTCGAACTCACAGAGATCCGCCTGCCTCTGCCTCCCGAGTGCTGGGATTAAAGGCGTGCACCACCAACGCCCAGCAAATAGTGGGGAAGACCAAACCATGGAAGACGGCGCTGGGGCTTAAATTTTTATCCTTTTGAATCACCACAGCCACTGTGCGAGGTGGGCTTTGAAACTTCCAAAAGCGAGGAGACGCAAAGAAACTTGTTGTTCATACAATAAACTTCCGACCTGAGATTCCTATTCAGGGCTGGTTCCTGCCGCCGCCCCCCCAACATGTGAATTTATGTGCTTGTGATTGGGTAAGGGAAAAGGGGGAGGGGGTGATTGTCCTTTTTCACCCCCTGGAAGGAGGGCAAAGGCCTCACAGCACCTTCCCAAAGTCGTCTTTTAGAGAAGGAGGGTGTGATGGCCCTTGCAAGGCAGGGACTGGTCAAGAACAGAAAGTAAATATCAGAAAGAACATTGCCTCCAAACAGTGTGCTCAGACCAGAGAAGGGGTAACAGACACAACACTAAACAACCTTGTCAGTCCAAGCGGGCAGGAATTAAGTCAAATGAGGACTTGAAATTGTTCTTTGGACCTAACCGCCTGTGCTTCCAACTCAAGAATAATAACCCAGGAGTGACATATTATTTTTACATCTCATTTGCATATGATTAATTCCAAGCCGGAGTGAAGGGAAGTCACGCTGGCTTCTCATCCCTCCTACCTGTTTGTCCAGTCCCCCCTCCTCTAATTCTTGCTGGGCTCTGCCACCCCCACCATCCTTTTACCACTCCTTGCCCTGTGCCTCCCTCCCCCGCTCACTGTTCCCTTCCTCTCTGTCACCCACGCAGCAGCCTCCGCAGCCTCCGCCACCTGGCCGCCCACCGGAAAAACTTTTCCCCAAGTTCCTGAGAAGCCGCGTAGGATCCAGGAGAGAAAAATCAAAGTAATAAAACCTCATTTAATTCCTAACGGAGGGCAGAGCTGTGAGCTGCAATTATCTTAATGCGGAGCTATTTTTACTCTCTCTCCATCTCTGTCTCCTGCCTTTCTGTCGTGAGGCTTTCTCCTCTCCACTTCCCTTTGTCTCTTCATCTCTCACATGGGTCCCCTCTTCTTTTCACTCTCTCCACGGACCCCGGCAGCCTCCTAGCTATGTGTTCCTCCCCTGTACATATATCTCCCTACGATTTCATGGCTCCAGGGTTGAGGTGCCAGAGGCATCACACCCAGACAAAGCTGGACAAAGGGGTGAAGACCACCCTCTGTCCCCAAGGGGACATCTTCTGGGATTAAATTGTGCTCTTGTCTCCCTACCTAGGCACCATGGCAGCAGTGGGGTGGGAATCCTTCATAACTGTTTAGGTCAAACCAGTGTTTCCAGAAATTTCCAACGGGCCCTGAGGTATACTGTGTGTGTGGGTGGGGCACAACCTCATCCCTGCCTTTGGTCCCCTTTATCCACCATATACCCTTCCTCAAATACCCAGCTGGGTACACTCCAACTTTGGAGCCTAAGGGCTGCTCAGGTTGCTGCTGCCTGGCCATGTACCCCTTTATCCTCCCAAAACACCGACAACTGGCTTTGTCATTCCCTACCACGTCCCATCTGGAAGAGGGGTCCTGGGCCAAGCTAGGGACTGGAAGAGATGGCCATGTCCCTGGCCAGCAACCTAACATGGGCTGTTTCCCAGAAAATATATGTCAACAAGCTGTAGCCAGGCTTGGGCTAAAGGATGTGGGGCCTGGCCACCAGGACATCCTATTCCCAAGAGCAGAGTTTGGCCCCTGGCACCCTCTCTCTTTCTCATCCCCCAGAGGGCACTGAGTCTGGGGCAGACAGCATGCCCCTGACCTCATTTCCCCAAGACTCCACTGGCCTCTCATTCCACCTGGAGCCACAGTGCTGGGGCTGGGAGTGGAAAAGTTGCTGGTGGAGTTAGGGGTGTGGTGAGGAGGGCCCCTGCTGTTCCTGGCCTGAGAGTGACCAGGAGAGAGGACAGCCAACACAAACAGAACCCCAGGAGGGCACACACAGGCACAGGTCCACACACGCCCCTTCTGGGCGCTACAGAGAGGCATTCAGTCCTTCTTGCCAGTCCCGCAGAGGGTAGTGCCAGCTCCTGCAGAGACTCAAGGGCTTGGGCAGATAAACAAGGGCACTTAACCCACAAAGCCGCCCCTCTCCTCCAACACACACACACACACACACACACACACACACACACACACACACCTGTAGAAAAGGCTGACATTTCA